GTCAGGGTGATTATGGGGACTGCCCCTCTTGAAAGTCCCTGCCTTCTCCTTTGAAAGTATTACTGACAGCTTTTCCATTCTCTTTTTTCTTTACTTCTTGAAGGAACCCTGTAATTTCTTATTCTTTCTCCCCCTCTGCTTTTGCTTTCTTGTCCCCTCTGTCCCCCTGAACTCTTTGAAATTGGCTCTCTGCCTGCTGACACCAAACTGATACTTTGCGTTTCACTTCTCCTTATCCCTTTATGGCAACAGATGTTGAAATTTTGTATCCTTTTATCTGCCCGGCTGCCCTTTCCTGTAATTACGTCCCTTGTTAGCAGTACAAAGTGGGCTGCCTGGCTGCCTGGCCTTTGAGCCATTGTGTCTGAACACGTGTGCTCTGGTGGGTGCTGGAGGGGATGCGTGCTCACACACATGCATGTGACAGACACTGTTGTGCCTCCTCCTCCTGACGGAGCAGAGAGGGTAAGCTTCACCACCGTCATCTTCCCCACATCGCCAGCCCCGCATCGCCACTCTGACATTTCAGATCTGGGGCAGGTGGTTCAGGGGGTAAGGGTACTTGTCACTGAGCAGGACTGCTTGAGTTTGATCCCCAGAACCTACATGGCAGGAGATAACTGACTCCTTTAAATTGCCCCCAACTCCTGTAAGCATACTGTGCCAACCCCAACCTTTCCAAGAAACGTTTGAAAAAAGTTTTTTTTTTTTTTTTTAAATTTGGGGTGTATTCCTTTAATTCCTTCACTCCCATTGAGGAGCTGCCCCTTAGGCACCTTAGGTGCAGAGGCCTGCAAAGTTCAAGTGTGGGCCTTGAATCTGCCAGGGCAGGGCTGGGGCTTGCAACCAGCTTGACCCTCCTGTTCCCAGAGGGTCTCCTGACATGGGTCAGGGTCCAGTCACCCACACAGGACAGTGAGAGACCAAGACACATACAGCACTGGTGCTCCATTGTTGCAGAAAAAAAGTGGTAGATTTGGAGGCTTATAAAAGAACATGAAGTTAGCCAGCCATTAATGGCACATGGCTTTAGTCCCAGCACTCGGGGGGGGGGGGGAGGGCAGAGGCAGGCGGATCTCTGTGAGTTTGAGACCAGCCCTACAGAGCGAGTTTCAGGACAGCCAGGGTTACACAGAGAAACCCTGTGTTGCAAAACTAAAGGGGGGAAGAACAGAGACCTCGGGCCTATTATAAGGACCACTTGAGCCAGTGTGTGGGAAGCACTCAGTGCAGTGCCTGCCAGTCAGGGGCTCAACTATGTGAGCTGATGCCAAGGTAGCCGCTACTCTGCCACCATGAGACCAAGACAGCCATCTCCATTCCTATCAGGGTACCACCAGGCTGGATTTGCAGCTCAGCCTGGATTCTGTTTTCTTGGTATAAGACTTGAAGATACTTCCTCTATAGCTTTGGCTTTTTTAATAGAGATCAGAGGGCTGACTTGAACTACTACTTTGCCTCAAAGCCGCATAGCACAGCACTTTTTGCCAGGTAGGGATGTGTGTGCATCCACAGATCTCTGAAGGCTAGGTGCCAGAGTGCCATGTGTCCCTTCACAGCCAAATCAGATGGTCAGCCTCATCACCTTTGCTGACCTGTCACAATCCTGTCATTAACTAAAGAGTCACTCATTCCCCTCACCCCAAACTGTCTATTCTCCCTTATAGAACGTTCTTTTTTTTCCCTCTTTATTGTTAGTGGAGTATAAATTTACTATAAACTTAGACTCCTCTCTGCACAGTGTCTCTTTCATAGTGCAGTTCATGACTCCCTGTAGTTTTTGAAAGGCAATACCGTGCACATAGAAGATGCTCAATTAATGGTTAAGGGAGGGAGAGAAGAGGGACAATTATGCATTCTTTAGTGACCCCTGGGCCATTTGCCCTTGGAGAGAAGAGATAAACTGATTGTCATACTTCAGTCTTTCAAAACTATGGTTAAGGTTCAGGGTGGCACATGCCAGATGAGGTGCCCTGACACCTAAATAATGCACTTATATGGTTCCAGGGACCATCAGACACCAGAATGTTAAAAGTAGCTGGAAAATGGTGTGAGAGCCAAAGCATGAGTCACTGTGGGCTGGGTGCCCCAGAATATTCTAATACAAGAGGCCTGTGCTGAGTGTGTGGGCCATCGTGGCTGATGGCAGTACATTATTTAATTTTTCTTCCTCCTGGTCTACAGGGTGAGCCAGACCCAGGAGAGACTCTTCAGGGAAATGGTCCCGGGCCCCTTACTTCTTCCTGCACGGGTACCAGAGGCTGTAGCACAGGGGCAGGCCTCCTTCAGCACGCTACTTAGCCTGTCTCATTCATCAGACTGACCCTGCAGGCTGCTCCATCTGTCTTTATCCTTCCCTGGGTGGAGAGAGAATTGCTGGAGTCAGGCTCAGGAGCCTAGGGTGTGGAGGTCTCCAGCCCTGGGCAGCTCCTGGAGGCCTATGCTTTGTCTACAAGAGCTGGAAGGGAAGGGACTTTTTTGTTTGGCTCTCTATAGTGACAAGCCCAGTTCTTGCTCCTGTCTTAGCCTGGGGCTCTGAGCGGCAGCCCTGTTCCCACACAAGTTGTGGGACAGCCAAGGCTCTACACATACCACCCCCTTTACCCCCCTACAGTGAGAGGCCGAGAGGCATTCTTAACATTCTTTCTAGAGAAAAGGGGTGAAATGTCTGAATTTGGGGGTCACCACGTTATACAAATTGCAATCTAATCGTTTTTTACAAGAACACACTTGCAGTGAGTAAAACAGCACAGGAGGGGACAAGAAGACAGCGTGCAGCCTCCCTCCATCACAACAGCTCTCTACTTAAATTGGGCCTGGGGTGGGAGCCTAAGGGCCCATGGTGCCATTTCTGTTTGTTTTCCCAAATCAAAGCCCCAGCAGGACTCTTGTGGCACCGCTGGGCGACTATTAGAAGAGACCTGCCACTTCCCAGAGCCTGTTCTGCCCGTTGATGCTCTGAACTTAACCTTGCAATGCTGCAGAACAGCGCTGAGGAGCCCGAGCCTGGAGGCCAAAGAAATTGTATCTTTTTATTGTTGGTTGAAAGTGTGTGTGGCCACTTGAGAGTCCCAGAGAAAGTAAAGCAGAAACATCTCAGGCCAGCAAGCATGTGGAAGGCTGGGCCTTTGCGTCCGTCCCCCCCCCCCCTTGGGCTGTGCAGTGTTCGCGGAGGCTACTTGGGCAGTGGACAGGATTCAGGTTGGTGGCTCAGTGTGGATGTGCCCCTCTCACTTCCGACCCACCAGCAGTGGGCACCCAGCCCTGAGTCTCTCAGGATCCCAGCGAGAGGGTGGGCAGGCAGATGGGGTTCCCTGGGCTCCACCCCTACACCCAGTCTTTCATCTTCTATTTCAAACAAACATGAAATTACTTCCATAGATTAAAGGGGAGAGAGCGCTCCTCAATCACTCCACTCCTTACAGCCTCACTAATGGAGTGGGCAGGGCCCCAGATCTGGAAAGGAGCAGGAGAACTGGGAGGCAGCTCCCACCTGGTGTACACAAATGCAGGGTGCCTCTGAGATGGGCCTTCCCGCTTCCCGTGGCTGGCATGGTTGGTGGCTGCCCCAGAAAGGCAGGGCCTCTCTAGGAGCAAGGCCTAGTGATCTGTACAGACACAGACCCAGGGAGATGTCTCCCGGTCCCCCAGGAGCCCTGACAGATGCCAGCACTGGGCCACTGCATACATCAAGGCTATCCCTGGGAAGATGGCTGGCACAGAGGTGCCAGTTTGGGACTTAAACCCTTCAGTGGACAGCAGTAGTTAGTGTTCCTTGGAGGCCGTCGGTGTTCACAGTGAAAAGCTAAGTAGGTAAAGAGAGAGCCCCAGCCTCTTCCTTCAATGCTTTTTAAGATGGCTGCCTTTTGGGGGAGTAGTGTAGATGAGAGTCTGAGTGACGGGCACAGCCTCTACCTGAAGTCCACATTTAGACACATGGCTGGAAGCCCAGCCCGCTTCAGCGCCCTTGGTGGGACCTACTCAGGCCCAAGCTGTACTCCTGAGCCCACGAAACCCCCTCTTGCGCTGTGCTCAGGCCCTCCTCCCTGAGCATCCCTGGGATGTGCCCATGCCTTTCCTGTCAGACCCTGAGGAGGGCTGGGGAAAGGAAGCTGAGGCTCCGGCCCAGGGGGTGCCTCTTCTCCTTATTCCCTCCACACATTCTGCAGAAGTTCAAAACAGCCACTATCCCCTGGCCACAAGGATTAGCTGGTGCACTTGATGTTGAGGGGCAGTTGCTAGGGCCAAGGGGCCCCCCTACGTGGTTGCTAGGGGTCTGGCATGGGGTGAGAGGTCTGCCCACTGCCGCGGTCACGGAGGGAATTACACAGTCACAAAGAGATTGTTCTTCTCAGTAATCTGGTCTCGGCCACCGGGCGGGGGAGCAGGCTGGGCCCAGCAGGCTGGGGGCTGTGATCACAGAGGCGTGCTAGCCCTGGGCTGGGGGCCAGAGGCCGCGAACACCAGGGACCAGCACACTAAGCTGCTTTCTCAGCTATTTCTGCCGCTGGACACAAAGGTGTTTACTTGTTTTAACATCTCCTAGGACTCCCCTTTCTCCCTTTGTGTGGTCTTTATCCCCATAAGGTTTGAGCCCCAGATTACAGGCAGGAATTAAGGCACTGGACTCAGGCAGCTCAGAGCTGCATGACCTGCCAGATCAAGGAGTATAAAGTAACCAAGTGTGTGCTTGGGAGGGGGCCGACCCCTTCAGCAAGACCCATTCATTGCCCCAGAGGGAGCAGAGAGCCAGCACGCAGGTGTGATGGAGGAGGGCTGCCACATTTGCCCTACGGAGGCTTCAGCTAGGGCCTGGGATACTGGGGGAGGGGTGAGCGACTTCCTACTTGGAGGTTCAGTGGCTAGGCAGGCGTCTTCTCCCTCACCCCAGGTGATGGAGAGCTATGTGTCCCCAAGACCTGATGCCATTTGCAGGGTGAGAGACAATGCAAGGCCAAGGTGGACAGCCTTTTACTTTCTGCCCTTCTTTTCTCCCCCAGTGGGCAGCTGATCACACATCTGGGCAGTGATTTTCCCCCAGGGGCTGGGGTGCTGGATGTCATGTATGAGTCCCCCTCTACACTGCTGTCCTGTGGTTATGACACCTATGTTCGCTACTGGGACCTCCGCACAAGTACCCGGTGAGTCGGCTGGATGGGTAGACTCACAGAAGCAGGCCCTGCATCAATGCAGGCACGTTGTAGTCCTGGGCTGGCCCAGGGCAGGGCACCGAGACTGTCATCAAGGTCCTATCAAATTCAGGTTCCCTTCCGTCAGGCAGCTCTGGTCAGTGTGGCCTGGGAGACTGAGAAGGGCAGACGTCCCTCTGAGCCTCAACAGGCCAGCAGGAAATCGTTCCTCTCCCAGACCTCGCGAGGCCTGTGTGCAGCTCTGGCCCTGTGTCAGGTAGTCTGCCAGGAGAACGTAGATGCGGGTGCGTTGCGTCTGCAGCCCACGGATCACAGGAGGCCTCTGCAGCAGAGCCCTTCTCCATTAGCTTTGGTTGTTGAAGAAGCTGGTGAGTCAGGCTTCACGTTTCGCTAGGCCATTAGGGCTCCCTAACCTGCCCCATCCCTGGGGAAGCTGGGCTGGAGGGAGGGCCAAACCCATTTGTCTCTCTCTCTTCCTGGACAGAAAGTGTGTCATGGAGTGGGAGGAGCCCCACGACAGCACCTTATACTGCCTGCAGACAGACGGCAACCACTTGCTGGCCACAGGTTCTTCGTACTATGGTGTTGTGCGTTTGTGGGACAGGCGCCACAGGGCTTGCCTGCATGTAAGTGTCCCAGCCAGTGTGTGCCTCTGAGATGGCGACACTGATTGTGGGTTGCACCTCAGAACTGGTGACATGGCCAGGGTTGTACACGTCCCTGTCTTCCTGGGTCTGGGCCTCCTGAGTCGGGGCACCCCATTTCCCAGCTGAAAGGCTCGTGTCACCCCTGTGACCCTCCCTTCTCTCGTCACCCCTGTGACCCTCCCTTCTCTCGTCACCCCTGTGACCCTCCCTTCCAGGCCTTCCCGCTGACATCGACTCCCCTCAGCAGTCCTGTGTACTGCCTGCGATTCACAACCAGGCATCTCTACGCTGCGCTGTCTTACAATCTCCACATCCTAGACTTTCAAAACCCATGACAAACGACGCCTGCCTTTGAGCTGGGCAAGTAAGCTACTCAGGGACCTCTCTTGCCTGGCAGGTGAAGTGATGGATACCTCACCTGTCTTCCCAGCCCTGCTGAGCTCCTAGACCTGTGACCACGATGCCTCAGCACCCGAGGCACCTCCTGCACACTGGGGCTGACGGATGCAGGCCCTGCCAGGACCTGTGGTCTTAGGAGGATGGACCTGAACTCAGATGTTTACAATAGGGCCAGCAACCCTGTCCCCAAGCCCTTCACAGCACTACAGCAGCCTACACAGAGTGAGCTGAGGGACTGCCACCACCCCAGCTACAAAAGGGTGCAGTTGTTGGAACGTCTGCTGCCACCTCCTGTCAGGTGACAACTTCTCGGAGTTGGGGTCTCCCTTCTGAGGCACTAGCCTGCTTTTGCTTTGAAACTAAGAAGGACGACAAAGGACAGCTGTCAGTTTGGGGTTCTGGGCTAACCGTTCCTCAGGCCAGCTTGGGAAATGTGCTGTGATTTTCATTTTTGTAAAAATAAAATTTGGTTGTTCACAAATCTGGTCCTTTAGTTGTTAGATCATTGTATGAGGCCCCGGGAGGGCAGAAATCAGATTTCAATTCAGAAATGTGTAGAGGGAAGATAAAAGCATGGCTCTCTGTCCCCCCCCCCCCAAGGCTTCTTTTCCTCTACCTCTTTGAGGTATGGGGTATGGACAAGGGACTATGAAAGGGCTTTAGGAACCTGCTGTTACCTACAGTGACCTTTCATTGTGTCCCACCACACACACACCGTTGACAAACTGTAACGGTCCTCACTTTAATAACCATGGCGTGTTAACATTCTGTGCTCTTCCCAAGATTGCTGATGTGCTGCCATAGGCCTCAGGTGAGTCTTTCCTAGGCCAGCACAGGGGAGCTTGCAAAGATGCGCAGCCTTAGCCCCACTCTTCCCCCTTTAGCTGGGAGGCTTGTGTGGCAGGTCTCCAGGATGGGAGGAGGGAGTCATCACACCAGCATCTCCTCTAGGAAGGCCAGGGTGCCTGGAGACAGGCACCACACAGAAATAGATAAAAGGGCAATCCTTCTAGAACAACTCCAGATGACTTTACTCAGGAACAAAACCGTGGGCAGAGGCACGCTGTGCCCCAAGAGCCAGTTCTGTGGACTCTAGTCCTTAGAAGGGAAGAAGCCCGTGCCAGGAGAGCCAAGCCCGCAGTCTCGCAGCTTCCTCAACCCTGGAGGTGCAAGGCTCAGGACAGCTACTGGGTCTTACAGTCCCCGTCACTGCCGTGGGCCGTCTTTACCTTCTTTAGCTCCTTCTGTAGCTCTGACTCAGCCGCCATGACCTCCTTTGGCTTCTGATACTGTGGAGGGAACCAGGGAGAAAGCGTAACTCAGTTACCAGCCCCTCTGCCCACACACTCACCCTGGCTCCTTGTACATGAGGGGACCTAGGTGTACAGGTCTGAAGGACTTGCTCAGGCCCCATGGCTGGGGAGGGACGGCCCCGCGATGAGGACCCAAGGTCTGTGACTTTTCACCAGTCTCCATCATACTGTTAGGTGTCATGCCCCCATCCCCGAGGGGTGGGGTGGCTCTTTCTTGGTGTCTACCCACCCCCACCCCCTCTCCCCATGAGTAGGAGATGCCTGTTCTTCAACAAGCACACCTAGGGCTTGGGACGCCTGGAGGCAGGGAGGTGGGTGAGGGAAGAGGGACCTCTTCCTGCCGCCAAGTCTGGACAAATCTTACAGAGATGATCAGGGTGCAGCTGGCGTGAGCAAAGCTGAGTGCAGAGTCATCCAGAGGAAGCTGGTGTCTGTCTAGGTCAGGGACGGAGAACTTCTTGTAGTACCTGTGGAGACGCCAAGAGCCTGCTGGGGAAGCAACATGGCAGCCCCACAGTTGGGCACCAGCTCCCTTGTCCGGTTTCTACACAGCCCCCCACTTTCTATGCAGCTAGACAGGAAGGGGGGACCCACAAGCACGGCCTGGTTCGTTTGTGGTTCTGGAGTCAAAAGGATGGTGGTAGTCTTAGGCCAGGCCAACCAAAGGTGAGCAGAGCCAGTGAGAGCTCTGTGGTTAGCCCAGGGGTGGAGGTGACTCACCAAGAGGGCTGGCACTCAGGTACACAAAGAGCTGCCCAGGGGACACCAGAAAATGGGACATTTATCCTAACAAGCATCAGCAGGGTCTCTAGGGCTGTTTACCTCAAGTCTTACAGTTACTACTTATATGAGTAGTAACTCACTGAAAGATTGGGCCACTTTTGTCCCCACCATGACAACCATGTGTCTTTCCAGGCCTAAAGCCAGACAGGAAGCAAAGTCCACCTCAAGGGGCCGTCTCCCTGGGAGGACAAGAGACCAGTGGGGCCGACCTCAGACTCTTCCTTTTCGTGTACAGTAAACACAAAACCAACCACACAGCACAGACTCCCAGACTTTGCCAAGAGGGAACGCAGTTGAGGATGCTGCCTGCTTTCCCGGTCAGCTGTCAGCAGCGGAGTCAGGGGCAGAGATTTTCTCAAGCCTGGTCCTCACCTGATGCTTGCTAGATGAGAGCCTAAAGAAAGGCCCTTCCTCTCAACTTCCTTAGTGGACGTGTGGGCTGGGCACTAGCCAAGGGCTGCTAGAGCCCCTACCTGGACAAGTCACTTTCTGTAGAGAGAGCGGCTGTGCGGGCTGAGGAGGGAAATGCCCCGGGCAGGTACAAACAAACTCAAGAGAAGGGCCTGGAGAGAACGGCCCTTTTAATACTTCAGAGGGGCCTGGCCCTTGTGGTGACAGCTACTCAGAGTCCACTTCAAAAGCCCTGATGCCCTGGGGACTCAGAGAGTTGACATCAATGCACTGTTTCTGCCCTGTCTTCCCTGCTCAAATCCCTCAGTTCAGAAGAGGCTCTGGGGCCCCTCTCTTCCCGAGTTCCGTCTCCCCACCAAGGTGCTGGGACCCAAAGAAGGAAAAGAATGTTTATTTAAAGACTGACAGTTCAAAAGGAGTGGGGGCTGGGGACCCTAATGGTACTGCAGGTTGCTTTCTTTTCCAAAGCTCTGCCCCAGGGAAAGGCGATCCATCTGCGGCAGTGGGGGCAGTGGGCGGAATGCCTGCTACACCCTCTTCCTAGCCCACAGGCTGAGTGAGGCTTTTCCTGGGGCCCGGCCAGGCTAGCAAAGGTGGCAGACACTGATAATAGCAGGGGGTCAAAGGTTAAACAGTGGAGATTAGGTGAACACAAAGGCTTGTTAGGAAGTGTTAACATCTTCCCTGCAAATATACACAGAAAGCAGGACCAGGAGAGAAGCCCCTCCCACCCCAGGCGGGGCCAATGGAGGAGCTGCAGCTCAGGGCTCGTCCCCACCCCCACACCCCCCAAAGCAACTTCAGGATCACAGAGAATTTAAGGTGTATGGCTTGCCCCTTCCTTCCCCTACTCCTGCCTCCAGTCTAGGGAATGGAGGTCGCCGGTGCCAGGCGAAGTCCAGGCCCTAAATACCATGGATTTCGTTTATTGGGTGGAGACGCCTGGCATCCAGTCTGCTGGTGAGTGAAGGGCTCCTCTGCCTTTCCCTCTGCACAGGGCACCCACTCTTCTTAGGGCTTGCCACGACAATAACCGAACTAAGTGTATCACCAGCAACTGGAGACAGGAACCCACTGTGCTTCTGGAAAGGTCAGAGTGACTTCTTGTCCCAGTCTACTTGTACCCCCCACCCAATTCCCTGCAACCCCTCACACTGTGAATGGGAAGGGGCGCAGATTGGGCAGGGTGGAAGCTGCGGAGGGAGAGCTGAGGCAGGGGCAGGGCCGCTGTGGACAGTTGTACAGGCCCTGCCCTATACATCTCTAACCTGCACACCGGCCTGGCAGGTATCCAAAGAAGTCCCCAGCCAATCCTGCCCTGAGAGTGGCAGCAGGTAAAGAAACTTAAACCTCAAGTACTGGGCAAACTACATGGCTACTTCCTGCTGTCTGTAGAGTCACAATGAACAGGCCCATGCTCAAGGTTCTCAGAGTCTTACCAAAGGGAATCCCACCGAGTCTGACTGTCCCAGTTATCCGAGCAGAGTCGGGTCGTCTAGTAATACTCACTAATAAAACCCCAGTTACAGTATCGTCAATGCCAAGTTAGCCAGGCTCTCTTCAGATCCCTTGCTTTGGCAGCTTGGCCATGGTATAGGGTGTATGCATGTATGTGATGTCAATTTCCTCAAACTGTTGTGAGGTATTGTAAGCACGCTTTCCACAAGTGAGGAGAACTTGGCCGGAATCTACCATTGACACCTGGCAGGCAGAAGCTAGATCTAAGCCAGAGCCTTCTAGTCCAGCACACTCCATCTTTGCACTTGCAGCTGCCAGCTTCCAGGCTGAGACGTGGAACCTTCTTTACACAAACAGCTTATCAGGAGCAGATGGTGCCACACCAGGATCCTATAGAAAAGGGTTCTTCCTTCCCGTTCATCTTATTAATACCCGAGGCCAAGAACTACCACCAGACACTGGGTCAACTTCGTCAAGCAGAGTGACTAGCCCAGTTCTGCAGGAGCCAGGCAGACACCAACAAGGCAACTGTGTAGCTCTGGTCAGGAACCACGGTCCAGAATATTACGACGAGGGCACACCTCATTGTAAAGAAAGGTGGGGTCCGAGAAGAAAAGTGTCGTGGTGGGAAAAATGCCTCGGCGATACTAGTCTCTGCATATGCCACTTTATGGTTTTTATATGCATTTCTATGACCATTAACATATAGATGAGAATAAATATGCTTCATGTCCACCTCTGATGATGTGATGATCAGGAAAGAGATTTAAAAAGTATTCTAGAAGAAACTAAACTCTGCTCATATAAAACCCTGTTGTGTTTTGTTTGATGGCTGGAAGGAAGTACAGGTAAGGATTGTATTTCTCCAGGTGGAAGGTAGACATTCCATCGGGCACAGGAAAGAGCTGGTTAAGTTTGGTGGCCTCTCCGGTCTACTTCCTAAAAGAGGGACCTGCAGGGGGCAGGTGAGCCTAGTTAGGACTCAGAAACTCAGTTCCAGAGTGGGCACCAAAATATCATTTTTCCCCTTTGTGGGAAGCCTTCCTCCTAGGGTACCACACCCATCCTACCTTGCCTCTAATAGCATCTCAAAAATGTCCCCAAACCCTGCCCTTGGGTGCTAGAATGCCCCACTAGCCACAGAGCCCCTGGCCAACAGCGCCACCTATGGTATATATGGCATACGCTTGCCTTGCAGGAGATGGGGCCCAGAGGACGGCTCACAGATGAAATTTTTGGTGAGCTAGCTAGCTTCTCTTCTAACGCTCGCTTGTAATCACATTTCTGCCTGATATCTGTATTCCACAGTGACCTCTGGGGGACAAAAAGGAGGCAGCAGCCAGGTCCACAAAGTGCTAGGCTGCAGATTCAAATGCTATCAGAAGCACTTTTGTTCCCAGTTTGGACCCAGGGCTTTGGACGCCAGGGAATGCTTGCTGAAGCACGGAGTTTGTTTTCCTGCAGGCAATTTCTCTGTTGTCTGAAATTGCTAAACCCCACTTTAGGCACTGACTCCTGTTAATGATGAGAACAATAACGGGAATAAACTGCCTTTTATCTGAGGGCTTCAGTGTGCTTTATAAACGCAAACCCTTATTATTATGACTTTGTATTTATAGACAGGGTCCACTACAGGGGCTGCTGGCTGCATGGACAGCAATAATCCTGAAATTAATTCATTCATCTCTACCCTTTCCCTTGTCCCCTTAACCCTGCCAAAGTGACAGGAAGTGGGGGCGCTAAGAGGGGGCAGGACTCGGGGCTGCGCTGCAGGCGGCCGGCAGGAAGTTCCCCTGCTTCCCTGTAGGTAGGCCTCTTAGGCAGAGGGAGGCTGTACCACTCCACCCGAAGGGGTTTCTCACGTGAAACAGTAGATGGTGTACTGGCACCATGGGGTTAGGCTCTGTACCCCAAGCAGCAAGCTGGGTAGTTTGGCAGCTTGTGGATGAGGAGATTAAAAAAAAAATCTCCCAAAATGAAGCCCCAGTTTAGAATTGGCCCCATTATTCTCTGCAGCTCAGGTTGAAACGGATTCACTTCTAGACTCAACGGTGACCAGAAAACCTCAGCACCTGCTGCCTTCTCCCAGCAGATCGGAAACGGAATTCTAGAGGTTTCCAAGAGCCAAACTTCTACCTACTTCCCCTTAGCCCAGGGAGGGGTACCTTCCAGGACATGGCTCCCTAAGTTCCCTAAGTTCACCAGGTCATGGACATAACAACCTTAGAGTGAAACTACAGAGTCAGTCACATGACCCCAGTCCGTGCCAGGTTCCAAACTGGCTCGGGCTCTAGCTTGGTGGAGCTGCTGCCCCACAGCCACCTCACGCCCCTCAGCGCCCCTGAGATCGCGCCCATTCTACCCCAGCTCACACACAAGTACACAGCTGCCCACCACGCCACTCACTTTTTGTTGGTCGTTCTAACAATGATGCAGCGCTCTTTCTGGGCCACAGAGACACTATAGACATCCTTCGGGTAGGGGAGATTTCGAATCCGCCACTGGAAACTTGTTTTGGTGTCCTTGCGCATGAAGATGGGCTGTGAAAAGCCAATCGGCCCAGGTCAGCCTCAGGGCCCATATGTAGAATGACCTTGAATTTCTGCTTCTCCTGATTCTACCTCCCCATGTGCTGGCATTACAGGCATGTCTACGATGCTCAGGTTATCAAGGGCCATTCTTGGGGAAAGGTACAAAGAGTTGGCCCCTCACCCTCCCCAGGCTCTAGGCAGAGCCTGACAGGAATCATTCTCTCTGGTCTTCCCCATGGCTCCCACAGGAAGACCTTGCCCTGGAATGGCCATGATAAACCCTTTGGTGTTCACACAAACCTAGTGTGGCTAGGTGGGCACAGTGGATAGAAGGTGGTGAATAAATCGTGGTCCCTGCCCTGAGTGGTCAGAAGGCTCCTCCCAGTCCCCATAAGACACTGGACAAACAGACATACATTGGCATTACTTTCCTTGATGAGCTCGGACCCCAGGCTCCCGGCTCCTGACAGCATTGGCTCACCCACTTCAAGCTGCCACTGGCCCAAGGCCCCCAGGGCATTTTTCACGCGCCATTTTCTCACTGGGAAGAGAAACAAAGAATGAAAGCTCTTTCCCACCAAAAGGGAGCAGGACATTGTGTAACTGGAACAGGACAAGCTGGCGCTTCCTCTCCAAGGCTGGGTCTCTGTGCGTCATCGTATAACCTGTGAAATCAAACTAGGCCACTTCAGCAGCAACAGCTTGCAAAGTGCACGGAGAGTGAGACAGGCAGCCGGAACTGGGATACGGCTCTGAGAGGAGTCATGGTCTGTGGCACCGAGGAGAACGCAGAGAGCTGGCAAAGGCCACCATTACTATCTGTGAAAGGATTTGTTGTGGTGGTTGTGGTGGATGTTTTTAAGCTCTGCTCCTCCTTCCTTTAGGTCTGTAGCCTAGGCCACTACTGATCCATCTCAGGTGGTTTTCTGGCTCAGCATCATGGGTGCTGGCTGGGCTTACAGACCTAACTCACCCTGCCTGTTTGGGTTTTGTTTTGTTGTCTTTTAAAATAAGGCACGTTTATTGTGGAAATCATAAATCCAGACCTGAGTTCAGTGGGCAGGACTGGGAAAACAGCCAGGGTCTCCCCGAACCCCACTCAGCCCTGTGCTGGTGGCTGCTGCTATGTGGTCCCACAGAGGAGATGCTGTCCCGAGGGGCACCCTCTGTCCCTGCCCTTCTGCTGTAGTAAGACGCCTGGGCTGCTGAGTTGGGGCATCCTCCAGCAAGGGCTGAGCAGTCACTGCTAAAATCTTGCAGCCTCCTATAGCTAGCTGCTCTAGGAGCTGAACACCTTGGAAAGGGCCTGGTGGGCTATAACAGCTACTTCCAGGGACAGGTCTCTTTCCAGGAAGGGGCAGAAGGGGGGCAGCATCAGGCCTGCAGCACCTGAGGAGCTGGGGCCAGGCTTGCACATGCACACTCCTGTGAGCACAAAAGCCACACAAATCCGTGATGTAGAATTAGAACCTTCCCTTGAATATGGGCTTTTTATAAGGTCTGCTGCATTCTGCAGTGTGGTTTTATTACATCTTAGGGCCCAAAATTCTCCCTAGAAACACATTTGCAAGTTTATAATGAAAATTAATAAGGACGAGTAAAACTTGGAAATATGCTTTCTAGGCAACTTCTTCCTCCCACAAATACTTCCTTAAGTGAATGGACTGTGACTGGGAGGGTTAGCAAAGGCAGCCACTGGAACACCTCAGTGCAAGACAGCCTCAGGGGCCTCTGTCACAGGTGCAAACAAGTGACAGCTACCTCCTAGCAGCAGCTTACTGTGACGAGATGACAAAGCCTGTTCCCCACTACAGAAAACATCACCCCTGGGTCCTCAAACTATGTATAACATGCTGTGCACAGACTGGGGTGCAGCTTAGTGGTGGAGCCTTTGCCCAGCACACGTAAGACCCTGGGTTTGCTCCTCAGCACTAGGAAGAAGGGGGAGCGAAAACCCAGCAACAGCTATGTGTAGAAGCAAATGAGCAGAAAATGGCCTCTCCCGATGCCCTGAGAACAGTGCTGGCGATGGCTCTCTTGCCAGGGTACAGGACACAGACAGGCACCTGAGACCACTTGGCTTTTTCCAAGACAGGGTCTTACTGTGTAGCTCCGACAGTCCGACAACTCGCTCTGTAGACCAGACTGGCTGTGAACTCACAGAGATCCACCTGCCTCTGCCCTGCAGGTGCTGCGATTAACAGCGTGGGCCACTGTGCCTGGCTGAGGCCACTTAGTGTTGGGCACCTCCAGGTCCCCATGGCGTTACTGTACGGTGGAACACAGCCATTGCAGGAGTGAGGGCGAGTTCACTTAGGAATGTCTGGGCCTCTACTTGTCAAGGAGAAAGCGCTTCTTCCCCAGCTACTCGCCTTTAACCCTTGCCTTTATTTTCCAGGGGTCTGAGGGTAAAGAATTACTGAGGAACAGTGAGACCCACTTGCAAAAGGGACAGTTGAAATTCATGCGCCACATACTTAGAGGGCTGGCAGAACAGAGGCTATAGGCTATCTTGGGCTAGATACCAAAACCCTGTCTTAAAACAACAGAGAACTCAGGTCGTATAGCCCCCCACTCAGAATTCAGTCATCAATAAAGAGGAGGACTACAGTCTCCAGGGCTCTTAACAGATGTGATACCCTAAAAGCTTTCTTCAGCACTCCATTTCTTTCTTTTTCATTGTTGGTTTGGAGACAGGGTCTCTCTATGCAGTCCTGACTGTCCCAGAACTCACTCTGTAGACCAGGCTGGCCTTGAACTCACAGAGATCTGCCTGCCTCTGCCTCCCGAGTGCCGGGATCAAAGGTGTACGCCACCATGCCCAGCTTGTGTTTCTATTCTTATACTGCAGTCTTTAAAGCCCAGGTTTGGTTATCCGCAGGGGAAATATGATGAATTTATAGCTGGGCTGGCGAAGCAAGATGGCCCTGTGATGATGGGCTCTGTCGTGTGACCTAGGGACACCATCACTATTGCTCCTCGGGCCAAGAGTCACTGCAGCTTTCCCCAGAATGCAGATGGCAGCTCAGTTTTCCACAGAAGCCTGCCCTAGAAGGAAAAGTCCCAACACTTCTGGTTTCCTTATTTCTCCTTGGGGAATAATATTCCTAGAGTGTAACACAGGAGTTCCCTTTCCAGTCTTTCAAGAGGCAAGATCCATGGAAGGTTCTGGAGTCCTTACTTTTCCTCTCACATGTGGCCATCAGTGTGCACATGCAGAAACAGTCTTGGTTTTCCGGTGTCACCTTTGTTCCTGTACTCAAGGACAGCTCCTGCAGCAACAGAGGACCGTTGCCACCTGCTGTCACTCTGATTTGATTATATGTTAAACCCAAGCTGGTGTGCACAAGGCAGCTCCCTGGGACGCTGTCATCTCTTCTCGGCTGAGTCAGGGCCAGGCTCTGGAAGGAGACTTCAATGATCCCATAAAGGGTCTGACAGGCGATGTATGAAGGAGGCAGTGCCTGGGGGCCTTTCCCCAAGTCAGCAGGACGCAGGCGGATGCCCCAGACAGCTGAAAGCAGCCCCATCTTTCAGGTGGGCTGGAAAGTGCAGGTCCTAAAGGCCCCTTTCCCCAAAGCTCCGAGGCCTGGCCCACTTCCAATACGGATAATTACATTCCCCTTCCTAAATACTCCCTGCAGCTTACACTGGATGCAGGATTCTTCTTTTCTGCCCTAAAACACTGCAACATTGCTATGTGGCTATTAAACAGCTGCCGTGGCCCATCCCTGAGGAGGCTGAAGGGAATCGAGTGGGCCATTTATAAAGCCGCTGAAGGGCCTGGGGATGAAAGTGCTCAATATCCTCCAAATGCGGCCTGTGGTGGTTAGGCTGGCGGTCAAATACCAAAGCAGATTAAGAGGTAATCCAAATGTAATCGCTGGGGGACGGTCTGCCCTTCAGCCTCGGCCCCCTGGACACGCTGTGTTCTTCTGGGGCTTGGTTTGATGTTCCGATCATTGTTACAAGGCCCTTCAGCTTTTTCTCTATGAATACATACAGCGTTCATTGTGGGGGGTGGGAATGAATAGCCCCGAGAGGGTAGAAAAAAGATGACACTAACATGCTTATTAACACCGACTGGAGGAACTTTGTCCCAGACAGATGCACACCTACTGGCAATTCTTCCTCTGTAAATTACTTTCTGAGCTTTTTTTTTTTTTTTTTTTTCTAGCAGAAAACCTGTTTGACCAATTATCAAATTTGTGTTTTAGCTAGGGAAAAAATGGAAACCATTCCTCTTACTGCCGCAAAAACCATATCTACATTCCACTTCATAGTGTGCACAAACCAGTTCTGGTCCTGAGATTATGTTTATAACATTTACATTAATAGCTAGACATGGTGGCATGTGCTCAGTCCCAGCCACTCAGCACACTTGAGGCCTGAGGACCATAAGAGCCTTAAAAGTTTGAGGCCAGCCTAGGTAATGCATAGAGATCTTGTCTCAAAAACAAACAAAAACCCTAGTAGTGGACAGTTCTTTGCAAGGGGAGTTGGGTTGGAGGTTGGGGGAGATAAAAAAATAAGAAATGGATCTTAGAGCTTGGTTGCACACACCTTTAATCTCAGCCCTATGGAGGCTTAGATGGGAGGGTTACCCAGCCTGGGCTACACAGTGAGTTCCAGGCTACATAGGAGGACCAAGCCTTGAGAAAACAAGAACAAAATAAAGTGAAGAGGATTTAAATGTTCTTAGCTCTAACACTATGCCGCTGTACACTGCGGCTTAAACACTTCCTGGGATGGAGCCAAGCTTCCCTCTGGCTCAGACGCCTCCCAGCTTTGTGATTTTTAACATGGTGTTAACATCTCTCAGCTTACTCCTTCAACTGTAAAATGGGGACACAGTGCCTATGTCGTGGGGCCTTCATGAAGATGCTTACATGACGTAAGTCAGGTAAAGCCCCTGGAATGATGCCCAGGTAGTGTGTTAGTGTCACTATTAGGTAAACCAGCCACATGGTGACTATGTCCCTAACAGTTCTTGCTGTTAAACAAAAGGAAGTTTGAAGGCCATGGTCTAGCCCAACCTGCCACCACTAGAAATGGTACGGCAGAGCACAGCGCACTACAGAAAGGAACCTGGCCTCATTCTTAATTTTAATATCACACTCAAGCATGGCAAAGGGGCCGGGTTGTCTGTCTATTTTTATGGCCTCCACAGCCCTACCTGCTTTATTTGCTGTGTGGAGAAAAGAAGTGACAAGAGGGGCTGGGCAGGAGCTGTGGCTGGGCTCAGGGTGACGGTGGTGGCTAGCTCACGTGACCTCTGCTTTTATAACTTCTCCCCTGTTAGACATTCCAAGGCTGTCACCCCCTGGGAGCACTATAAATTACAATGCATTCTGAGGGTATTACTACTCTATTGGTTTCCAACGAATCAGTGTCATATGCTAAACACATCAAGATTTTTAATAGCGCCAGACTAAACCAATTGGGACTGGAGCCCAAGCAGCTCATAATAAGAGAGGACCAACACTTCACTGCAATCGAGCATGCGCAGGGCACACATTTGAAGACTGGAGACTGACAGAATATGCAAACCAATGTAACCAATGTTGTCAGTTCGAGACATTTATGAGCTGTCGGGAAAGGGGAAAAAGAAATTCCCTCACCAATACTACCTGTCGATCAGACCCAGGAAGAAATGAAAGTCAGGGATAAAGGCAGGAAAATAACTCAGCCCATGATTCCATCATTGGTCTTAGCATTTCACATGCAACTTAATAAAGAGACCAGCTCCCATGGCGGACAGCTTTGAGCCCTGGGTCACAGGGCCAGTCACCCAACTCTGGGAAGTCAGTTAATGCCGATGTGCATCCCGGGAACAGAGAACAGGCAAATCAAATAATCCCCAGAAATCCGAGCTGGACCTCCTATTCACGAGCCTGTTCTTATGGAGGGGGAACCTGTGGGCACAAAAGCAATTGTGCCGCAAAATCACCACTCCTACCCGGTTTACATCATTCTTCAAGATGGGGGTCAAAAAAAAAAAAAAAAAAAAAAAAGATGAGGGTCGTATTTATTTAATGGTATCATCTAGGGGTGAGGTCAGAAGCTGCCACATCTGATGTTTGCCCTTGGTGTGGCTTCAGGAAACAACAGAACAAGCAAGCAAAAACCTTGAGCGAGCCTCGGTTTTACCACACTCCCTTCTACCCAGCCTCCTCTGTGATCTGCTGAAATTCCATTGTTTCTTAGAACCCCACTCCTGACCGAGAGAGGCTCGGTCACCCTCCCGTTTATCTGGAGGTGGGGGTGGGCGGGCTGTACTGGGCAAAGGGCCGCTCTGCTTTTCAGGGTCACACTGAGGTCAAGCCTAAGGCCAGGCGCATTCAGTGGGCCTCGACCGGTGCCAGGAGCTGCCGAGGACCCTCCAGGAGCCCCACACTTACCAAGTAGTTCACTTGTCTTCTCGTCATATTCTTCTGCCATTTCCTTCCCATCTGGGAACAAATAATGCACCATCCTCTTCCCTACACACAAAGCAAAGGAAGAGCGCTTTACCACAAAGCCGCCCTTGGCCTTGCCCCCTGCAGACTGAGCCCTTTATCCCCCAAACCACAACAGCCTGAGGACCTGGCCAGAGCCTCCCCTGAGCTTCTTGCCAACTAATGGCCACCATCACTTATAAGATGTGTTCCACGCTCCCTTCCCTTCCCTTCTCTGAACACATTTGCTATGCTGCTCCCACCATCAAAAAGGCCAAGTTTCTTCTCAACCTCAGAACTTTCCTCACTCTTCAAAACCTAGTTGGAACAACACTTCCACTGCAAGTCTCCCTTACCTGTCACTCGCAGCCCAGCCACCGTGGCAGATGAGCCTCTTCCTCCTCTGTGCCCGCTCTGTATTTGAGTCTACCTCACAGCACAGCATTTACCCCATACCAGGAGAGTGTTAAAATGCATCTGGTATAAATGACATCCTATGTCATTTCCTACATCCAGGGCTACAGGCTCTGACGTGAGCTGGGTTTCCTGACAGGCCCTTCCAACCACACCGGCACTCCGCCTTCATTTACACATCTCTAGGCCACTCCCAGCAGATTCTGGGATGCTATCATCATGGATCTTCCTGACACACACTTGGTTTATGGTTTTACATGTCTTATGTGAGTCTTGGTTATTGCTTGTCTCTTCTATTGGGTTGGGGGAGTGGAGAGTCCATGGTTTCCCCGAGCTCAGCCACAGGACATGGTATGTAGCAGGAACTCAAATGCTGACTGAAAGTATGAAAAACATTGATAACAGAACCCATGGGAGTCTCCTAGCCTACAAGCACTTGCTCAAGGGAGGGCTGTGCAATGCCTTCTTTTTCTTCCAGGCAGGTAAGTAGATACAGGTAGCTAAGCTGCCTCAGGAAGACTGATAGAAGGAACCTCCATCAACTTCAAGAATAAGAGCCCTAAGGTGGCTTTTTCCTGTTTAATTCACTCCTCTAGGACACAGTTTCCTTGAGTCATTCCTAATGGACTCTGGGCAGGCCTCAACAATCAATCAACAATATCAATAACAACAATAACAACAACAATAATAACAATATCAACCCCCTTAAAAATCTGAATACTTCACGGGTAAGATTGCTTGCACTGCAGGCATGAGGAACTGAGTTTGAATCTTAGCATCCTACTGTGCATGCCTGTAACCCCAGCATTGGGAGGCAGAAACAGCAGGTCCCAAAAGCCAATAAGGCAGAGACTAACAGAGGGTTGCAGTGAAAAATCTGACCTTCACACACCTGGCATCCTGCTATGGCCTCTGTGTGCATGCATATGGGTATGTGCTCCTGCACACTTACATGCAAGCATCACACACTAATACATCATACCCCCCCCAATACTGCCCTATGATCAGAAGCAACAAAGCAGACTTTAGCATGCACCTGAATAGTTACGTTCACGTCAGTCAATAGACAGAAGCAACCAAGAGCCCATCAGCAGAGGGACGGACGTTGGGGAAGAGTACACACACACAGTAAGAGGCTGACATTGCGCAGGTACAGTCAGCAGGTCTCTCAAGCATGAGGACCCGGATTTGGTCCTCAGCATTCACATACAAAGTCTGGGGCGGTGACAAATCATATAATCCCGTGACTGGGCAGTTGGAGGCAGAGGATCCTGGGGCTCACAACAGCCAGCCAGCCTAATTGGCAAGCCCTAGGCCCCAGAGAGAGACTGTTTCTCAAAACAAGATAGAGACCAGCAAGAGGCAGCTGAGCTGGTGAAAATGCTTGTCACCGGCCTTGATGACCTGATTGAGCCCAAAACTCATTGGGTAGAGGGAAAGAACCAATTCCCACTAGTTGTCCTCTTATCTCCATACATATGCTATGTCAGGAGTACAAATGCACACATATAAATGTTAAAACAAACACAATAAACCCAAGGTTGACCTCTGTCCTCCACAAGCATGCACAAAATATAAAAAAAGGAAATCCTGCACATATGACAACATGGATAAGCTTAAGAACCTTGTGCTGTGTGAAATAATGGCATCAGATGCTATTTGACTCCACTTACATGAGGCTCTTAGATTAGTCACACTAACTGAGACCCAAGGAAGAATGGTGGTTGCTAGGGGCTGGGGAGAAGCCAGGGTTGGTTTTGAGAATGAAAAGTTTTGGAGATGGATGGTGGTGACAGTTGCAACACAATACAAATGTGAAATTAATGACACCTAACTGTGCACCTAAAAAATGGTTACTATTTAACCACAATAAAAACAAAACCAGATCAGTCATGGTGGTACATGCCCTTTATCCTAAAACTAGGGAGATAGAGGCAGGAGGATCTCTACGCCTTCAAGGCCAGCCTGATCTACACAGCACGTTTTAGGTCAGCCAGGAGAACTAGTGAGACCCTGTCTCAAAATGCAAACAGAAAGACCACTATCCTGTGAGGTCTTCACACTGTGAGACCAGAGCATGTCCCGACTTACCTTCACTTTCTGCCATCTTCTACCCCTTACAGCCTTCTGAGACATGAGACTTACTTAATCTGTCTCCAGGCACCTGATAATGCAGGCAGTGCCAGAATGGCTGGAGGTGACTGTTTTCCTAACACTCAACCAGCTATACACTCACACTTCATTTCTACTTATCAGATACCTGCCAATGGTCCTTTAGGGGGTTGAAAACCCCCTCTCCTGTTTGGTGATTGCAAACACCACCTCTCCTGTTTGGTGATTATCCACAGAGAAAATGATTTTCACCTCCATGCTTTCTTAGCATTTCACAGTGTCTCAATGCGCCCCCCCAAAAAAAAAAAAACCACCTAGGGTCTCCTGCCTTAGCCTCCATGACAGGCATGGGCTGCAATCTCCTGCTAAGATCCCAATGCAAGCTGCTATTGACTTACATGTCTTTCTTGACCACAGGCCATAGGTCCTTTTGTTTGTGTTTGTGCTTGCTTTTCTATTTACTCTAGCATAGCATCTGGCACATACCAAAGGCCTCCCCAAATGCTGTGGTTAGGAACAAATGAAACCTGCTTTTAATTTCCATAAACCAGGTTCCTTTGATTAGCAGTTACCTGTGGATATAAGCCCCAGCTGTTAAGCTTTAAAGGGAAGAATTCAGAACCAATTCACCCTGGCTGCTAAGTGGGTCCAGGAAAGTAGAGGTAGACTTAGATTGGCCAATTGCAGGATAGGAAAAGCTTGACATCTCAAACTCCCGTTACTTGTCATTTAGCCTTTGGCCCTATTCTAGCTCTCCCAATAATCAGAGAACATTTAGAAATCCACTCTAGACAAAACACAGTTGGGAAGGACCTCTGAAATAACAATGGCAGCCCACGTGCTTCATTTATAGTTGAAGAAAATGCGGTTCTAACAAATTAATAGATGAATTAATGGCAGAGTCGATCTAAAACCCTAGTGTCCCTCCATTCTCTGCCACCGCGCTGCCATCATCAATAGGACCCACATCACGATGCAGTTATACCTGACTACCTATAAAACCTGGGGCTAGTCTAAAACCTTCCTGATTTCAGTGAGAAAAAGTAAGTGGCGGGGGTGGGAAATTTCGCCTCTCAGGACAGCTCTGGGGAACGATGATGAGAGTAAAATGAATTATTGGGAATTGCCAACAGAACTCAGAGCGGGGCGGGATGGTGTAAGGAAAACGAGAGGTGGGTGAGCAGAGACCGGGGTTCCACCCCAGCCGTCTCCCTGGGCCTCAGTTTCCTCCTCTGCAAATGCGGGAAGCTGGCGTGGCCGAGGGCCGCGACAATCCCGCCCTGCCCACCCAGGCTGAGGCCCTCCCTGCGAGCAGCGCGTAGAGCCCGCCCTGGGGGAGGACGGGAGGACGCAGGGCTCGAGTTACCGTCCTGCAGCAGCGCCGTCTTCTCGGCAGCCCGCAAACTCTCCAGCCAGCTAGTCACCGCCATCTTCCCTCCGCCCAACAACGCGCGGCCACTTCCATGGCAACGGCTGGGCCGAGGGTCACTTCCGGATGACCCGGAAGGTATTCTGGGAACTCCCTTTCTCCCCCCCCCCGCCCCCACACACACTCGGGTCCGTTTTCATTGGCTCCCATGGTGAGTTTGTTTGTCTTTGGGGGAGATTCTGGCCCAGACCCTGCGGCTCGGCCGCGTCGGGAGGCTCCGAGGGCTCTTAGGGCCCCAGCACCAGCTCTCCCGGACCCAGCTGGGAGCCCCCGGCTCACGCCAGCTGCACACGCAGTGCGCGTGGCACAGCTGCTCCGGTCGCGCCCACCCCCAGCTGTGAGGGCACCTCACACCTGCACCCCACTTCCCTGCAGCCCAGCCCCCACCCCACCCCACGAGGCTGCGACAGGGCAGGTGCACGGCGTCTGCAACGTTCCCCCAAGTTTCCCTCCGATGACGCGAGGTTGGCGTGCCCTGCACGTGTCCTTCAGAGGCCGCTTTTCTGGGGAGATGAAGGCTTTGCTGAAGATGTAATCCCGTTTCCTGGCCCCTTTTCATTTTGGAAAAGGCTCTTGGAAGTGGGAGCAGAGGCCGACTCTGCGCCCGGTCTGCAGAGCTCCCCTCTCTTAAATGCTCTTTGCTTTGCGTCAAAAGCCACCCCCGACCCGACTTCCATAGTCCCAGCCTTCCCCTGACTTCCCTCAAATACTCTTAAAGCTGAAAGGCTGCTGTGTGTGTAGCTCGTATTAAACCACTGACGTTTAGCTGGGGTCCCTGGGACCTCTGAGAAGGGGTCTCTTGCTCCCAAAGCCTGCTTCTGTACACCAAATAATCTGGGGCAGCCCTCAGACGTGGACTTCTGCATGACATCCATCCTTAAACAGAAAGGCAAGGATCCAGCCATCCAGCTGTCCAGGCAATGGACCCCCAGGGCATCTTGAAAGCATTTCCTAAGCGAAAGAAAATTCATGCAGATCCACCATCAAAAGCACTTGCAAAGATTCCCAAACGGGAGGCCGGAGAAGCTGGAGGTAAGCTGGCCCACTCTCTGAACTCACACGTGACCCACAGCCTTCTGTTGTTTTCGTCCAGATAGTGGAGGTGGCCTTACCTGTGGAGGGCCCCGGTCTCTTTACACCTACCTTGCTGTGGCTTTGGTGTCTGACCTTTTCTCTTGTTTAGAGTCCCATGGTAACTTTGATCTTGCCTTATAGCTGAGAAAGACCTTAAGCTCCCGATCCTCCTGTCTCAGTCTCCCAAGTGCTGGGCTTACAGGTGTGCCGTAGTAACCCCACATCCACCGGCTGTTTCTCTCTCTCTGTTTTTCAGGACAGGGTTTCTCTGTGTAGCTCTGGTTGTCCTGGAACTAGCTCTGTAAAGCAGACTGGCTTCTGCCTCCTGAGTGCTGGAATTAAAGGCGTGCACCACCACAGCTGTACTTTGTCTTTGATAGGCTGTTTGCTGTGTTATCAAGACCTCAGTAAGCAAATATTCCCTGATTCCTCAAGAAGCGGCCCTTAGAATTCTTTGTTGTCCCTGAGGCAGCGCCAGGAGCAAACAAAACCCCCTGAGTCCTCGGGCTTGTTCCAAGTGGTTTTGCCACCAAAATTGTTAAGTAGATGGCAGAGATTTTAAGGGGTTGGAAGCCGAGTCCTCTAAACCGAGGGCAAGGAACTTATAATGGTAAGAAATGTGTGCTTTGCTGGAAAAAAAAAAAAGCGATAAAATGATTTTTGAACTGTGTTCAAAGCAAGAAGGCCTCATTTATTCAGTCACAAATACTTATAGATGGCCTGGGAGATACCAGGCACTGCTCTAGTTTGCACCAGGGACAGGACACAAGTTCTAACCCCCAGCATTCAAGTGATGGTCCTTGAAGAATTTGCTGTGCTTTTGGCAGGATTCTTCGAAGGCATTTTAATCTCTGGATGGCAGAAAATGATTACTTTGAAGGGAGATGATTTCAAATGGTTCATTGTGACTGTATCTAAAAGTTTTCCAGCCCTATGACATACATACATCTGTAATCCCAGCACTTGAAGGTAGAGACAGGAGAATGGGGAGTTCAAGGTTATCCTCTGCTACATAATGAGTTTGAGGTCAGCCTGGCCAGACATGAGATCTTGCCTTAAATAATAGAAATGGTAATAAAATAATAATAATAAAATAATAATAACTGTTGTGATAATAGGCATTTGAATATCCTCTCTACAGAATGGCTGAGTTCCCTGAGGGCTCACGTTATGTCCACTGGCATTGGACGAGCCCGGGCAGAGCTCTTTGAGAAGCAGATTATCCATCATGGTGGCCAGATATGCTCTGCCCAGGCCCCAGGAGTCACTCACATTGTGGTGGATGAAAATATGGACTGTGAGCGGGCTCTCTGGCTCCTCAGACTGCCCCAACTACCCCCCAGTGCTCAGCTGGTGAAGTCAGCCTGGCTGAGCTTGTGCCTACAGGAGAGAAGGCTGATGGACACGGCTGGATTCAGTGTCTCCATCCCCAAGAGGTAGGCTGCCCCTAGCCTTTCTCAAGTGTCTGTTGATACCATCTTGAGTTTCCATCTTGAGTTGTTCAAAAATAACTCCTACTTTTAAAATCATACATACTTGGAAACCAAGGTTTCAGTGGAGGGAAAGGTCGGGAACGGAGACAGGTGAGACTTTTGGTACCCTAACTGCCTGTGACCTCCACTACCCTCTAGTTCCTTGGACCAACCACAGCCCAGCAAGGCAAATGGAGGCACCCAGGAGGCTGTATCCAGGACAACCCTCTCTCCTTCCCCTCCTCACACCAGAGATGCACCTCCTCCTGCAAAGGCAGAAAAGGCACCAAGAACCCCAGCCCAGGTGAGAAGCTCCCATCTCGGCCCTGACCACAGAAGTGGAAAGGCTGGTTCTTATACAGAGAGTTCTAGGTCTCTCTTGATTATGCATCTGCTCTTCTCTACCCAACATTCCTGACGTCTGCATTCACCAAGCCACCTCTGCCATCTAGCCCTGGGCCCTACACCGAAGAAGGCACAAGCCCAGTGCAGTAGTTGCAACCTCATCTTTGAGGCGAAGTAGGAGACACGCTGTCCACCAAACACAACCGTCACTTGAGGGCTCAGACTTACTGTTTCTTCTGTTTGTTTCCAGCTCGGCTCAGGCGATGAAAGCAGTGACGAGGAAATGCCCCAGGTTAGCTCAGCAGATCTGGAAGCCTTGATCAGCGGACACTATCCCACTCCTCCTGAGGGAGGCGCTGTGCCTGACCCAGCCCCAGAAGCCCTGGAGAAGTGGGTCTGTGCACAGCCCTCAAGCCAGAAGGCCACTAACTACAACCAACACATCACAGAGAAGCTGGAAGTGCTCGCTAAAGCCTACAGTGTCCAGGGGGACAAGTGGAGGGCCCTGGGCTATGCCAAGGCCATCAATGCCCTCAAGAGCTTCCACAAGCCTGTCAGCTCCTACCAGGTACTTGGAGGTTGGGAAGAGGTCTCTTTATTAGCTAGTGGTTAATGGCAATGGACATCGAATTTAGTGGTTAAGATTTTATAATGGCTGGGATTTAAACAGAGACACATTGATAATAATAATAATAAGTAGTTGAAAACAGACCAGAAAAATTATTAGGACTGGGAAAAGGATGCCTACGGGTTTATTATACTTTCCCTCTACTTCCAAGTGTTTTTAAGAATAAGGTCAGCTGGGCAGTGGTGGTGTACACCTTTAATCCCAGCACTCGAGAGACTGAGGCAGGAGGAACTCTGTGAGTTTGAGGCCAGCCTGGTCTACAGAGTTAGCTCCAAGACAGCCAGAGTTACATGGTGAAACCCTGTCTGGAAAAACAAAAGCAAAGAAGTTTAAAGCCCATTTATTGTATACTCTGTAGATAAGTTCTCTGTCAGTTTTCCAGTCACTTGAAACTAAACACAGTAACCCATTCACAACGTTTTTGTAAGGTTGAAAGATGGTCCCTGTAGCACTGAAGGGCATAGGTAACCCCCAGACAGTGTGTTCCAGTGACCCCAGTCAGTGTGTTCCAGTGACCCCCGGTCAGTGTTCCGGCCCTGACTGGTCTGGAACTTGGAGATGTGCCTCTGCCTGCACGCACTTCTGCCTCCAGGAGTTCTGGGATTGAAGGCATGCACTACCACTCCTGGCCATTTTCTCTACTTCCTACTGCTGGTCTCTGGGAACCAAGGGACAAGTCCCATATGGTTCCTGGGCTGGCTTTTGGGCAGACACTCTGCTGAAGGAGCCAGATCCCCTTCCTCTGGCTCTCACTTCCTAGCTTCTTACCCCTCCTCTGTACCGCTCCCTCTCTAGGAGGCCTGTAGCATCCCAGGGATTGGCAAGCGCATGGCTGAGAAGATTGTGGAGATCCTTGAGAGTGGGCATCTGCGGAAACTAGACCACATCAGTGACAGTGTGCCTGTCTTGGAGCTCTTCTCCAACATCTGGGGAGCTGGGACTAAGACTGCCCAGATGTGGTACCATCAGGTCACACCCTACCCATCTAGCCGTACCCCATCTTCACTGCAAGAGCCAGGGTCCTTGTGTTTTCCCACCCTGTGTTCTCATGGGAATGGATCCAACTACAAAGGGATCACTTTTCAAGGCTACCAGAGTTCACATCGGTCCCTCTCCTGTCCCCTGAACAGTAGTGCGGCTTAGTGTCCTTGAAGTGTGGACAAGAACAATAAAAACATTTACTCTATCCCACAGACCAGCAAGGGACTTTCTGTTTGTTAGGTTTTTGGTTTGTTTGTTTGTTTGGTGTTTTTTTTTTTTTTTTTTTTTTTTTTTTTTGAGACAGTGTCTCACTATGTGGCTTTGGCTAGCCTAGAACTTGCTATGTAGACCAGGCTGGCCTTAAACTCCTAGAAACTTACCTGGCTCCGGCAAGGGACTTTCCGAGGAGTCCAGGCTTTGGTCTCCATGTCTAAAATGTGGCTCCCTAACCTGGCCATGCCAAGAACGATCTTGGGAGCTGGTGAGAGGGAAGCCCAGAGCCATTTTAGATCAGGGATCAGGGACCAGCACCCCCCCCCCCCAGATTACGGTGTGTCCCACTGCGCTGGACT